GATTCAGTGCAAAGTGGAAACAAACATTGGTGCTTGGTCTGGGGATTAATCAGCATTTGAAGAACCCTCAGCTGCTGAAGTGCTCCCTGGGAGCTGGCTCCTGTGAAGCAGTGCCTGGATGGAAACGATCATTTAATGAAGGTCTTTGGATTTTGCAGGTTGTAGATTATGCGAGTTGCATTGGCCGAATAGCAACGATCTCGTCTGGGTAAGATTCAGTTCTCTCTGGCAGAATGGTGTGGTTTGGGTAATCTATAGTGTGCTGATCTTTGCTTCCTACTTATTTTGAAAGGAGTTTTACTAAATCCTGTAAAGCTCCTCAGTAACAGCAGAGTGATCTAACAGACTCAGAGGGTTTGGATGTCAGGGCTTTCCTCCAACCAAGTTAGTTGTAACTGTATTAGAACTCCAGGTAGTTTTGCAGAAGGTGCTCCCTTTACCAGTGTATTCCCTGCATGAATGAAAGTGCAGAAGTCAGTAAAGCTGATAAAATACTCTTCCAAAGCAACATCAGTAAAACCAATTTCTAAGTCCTCTAGAGTGACAGGAGAAAAATCAAGTAGTGTTTGGTTGGGGATGGGAGCAGAGCAGTGCAGTAACTAGTAACTGTGCCCTTGTCCTTTTTTCCTTCAGCCTGATCCCTTTCCTTCTCATGGTGCCTGTGTTTTGCCTGGGTAACAGCAGTAATTGCTACCAGAACTTCAGCCAGAAGCACGGGTAAGCTTCACCAGTCTCTCTGAAACAGCCCCACTGCTTATGTGTCACGGCAGGAGCTCAGGCTCTGCCCTTTCTCCCTGCAGGTGCCTCTTGATGCACACGGAAATAGCCGTGCCCACCAACGAGCCGCCAACCCTCAGCGGCTCTGTTTGCCGTGCGATGCATTTCTATGGCATTGGGGTCTTCCTCATTTCCTTTCTGATCAGCTTCCTAGCCATTCTGGTAAGAAACATGGTCCTTGCACACTGCCAGAGGATCAGAGTGAGATGATTTTATGCTTGGGTGGTACCAGCAGCCAGGCAGTGTCAGGGGATGAAGTGTGTGATGCTGCTTCCCTTTTTGAAGGGGTGGTAGGAGAGAGAAAATATCATTGTGCCACCATATAAATCCAGCTGTAGTCCTGTGTTCTGTCAACCCATCCCAGAAAGGATAGAATCATAGAATCATAGACTGGTTTGGGTTGGAAGGGACCTTAAAGATCCTCTAGTTCCAACCCCCCTGCCATGAGCATATATATATGGATGTAGCTGGTAGAGAAGGCTTGGAGCATGGCAGCAGAGATCACCTACTGCATGGGTCAAAAAGAGCCCACGTGAGTTCAGAGTTTTCAGAAAAGATCATGTACAAAGCAAGTGCCCTCCCTCAGCGAGCACACTGTTGCGTGAAAAGGTTTGATAGATTGAAAGGAGGTTTTGGCTAAAAATCCCTGGGATACAGTGTCCTAGATGAACAAGCCAGATGAGAGCACGTGCACAAAGTACAAACAACAAGGTATGCTTGTTCTTTTTTAGGTTATACTCAGTCAAGCCCGAGGTTTGTACAAAAGGTTCATGAACTCCACGGGATTCCTGGGGGATCAGCAGTGGGCCATGATTAAGATGGTGGAACAACGAGTGGTGTTTTACCCCATCGCATTCTTCTGCTGCTGGGCCCCAGGTTAGCAGACAGCTGAGTCACTCTCACAATATTCCCCTAGGACATAGTGCCTGGCAATGAAACTCGGAAGAGGTGGGGTTAAAGCCATACCCTCTTCTCCATCCCTTTTCACAGCTGTCCTCCTTGCAATACTGAAGCTGACTGTGTCAACAAACAGCACAATCTACATGGCTCTTCTGATTCTACAGGTAAGTGTCTTCTGCTGCCACCTCCTCTGCTTGAACAGAAGAATGAGTGTTTGCCTGTTTCTGATCTCACTAGACAAACCATGTTTGTAGCCAGAAAGATCGTTAAGTCCCATTGGCTTATGCTTTTGGCTCCCAAAAATCTTTGTTAGTTGTTTTCTGTTTCTCACATGCTTGAAAAGGTCTCAGTAACCAAAATCCCAGCACCATGGAAATTGGGTAGAACATAGGACTAGAAAGGTTCCCCAGAAATCAGTTGGGTTTGTTCCCTTTCTATAAAAGTCTCCAAAAGCAGTTCCTCCATGACACTTGTCCAGCTGCTTGCTGTGCCTGAGGCAGCATTTAACAAAGGTGATGAAAATAACTGAGATTCCTCTGTCATGTGGGGATGCAGGTAGATAAAATCAAGCTGGAAGGGTGAGACTGGGTGTAACATGCTGGGTTTGACAACCTGGCTGATGAGAGATCCCTCATCTCCCCTGTGGTCTTTCTCAGGCTCTGACAGCAGCTTCCCAGGGGCTTCTGAACTGCATCGTGTACGGTTGGACGCAGCACGTCTTCCTCTCCCTCAAACGCAACGCCTGCCGGGACGTTGACACTCAGACTCCTCTCTTGCGCTCCCAGAAGAAGTTCTACGCCAGCACGCTCCCCACCAGCCCACCAGACGCAGAGGGCTCCACGTCCACCCTGCTCTGATCCATCCCTGTGTCAAAGGAGAACAGGCAACGTCCTAAGGAGACCTCGTTGTATTCCAGCAGCCTCAGCCAGACCCGCTCTCGGGCTGTGAACTGTCTTGCCAGCAGCCAAGGTAGCTGTAGTGCTGGAGGAGCCTGGGCAGAGCTGTCGGAGACAGGCACTTTCAGGGAAGGGAGTTATTTATTTTTACAGGTTTGTAAATGGAGTCTTTAAACATGAGAAATCTTTAGAACAGACTTTCTCCTTATGGAAATATCTCTAGAAATGCAGCAAATCCTATGTACCAGCTCAGAGATCTGATGCAGCTCCTTTGAGGGTAGGTAGTCAAAGGATGTTTCATTTCTCTAAGTGTTTGCCATTACAAATTAACAGTAAAGCAAGGATGACTTATTTTTCAATCTCTGACTTTTAATTCACTATAAAAATAAGAACATGAGCCCTACTAATAGCCAACAGCAAGCAATCAAAAATTACAAAGTAGCATAAAAAAAAATCAGTGATCACTTCTGTGCCTTAATTTTTTGCACATTTCCCTTCTGTTCTTCATGCCAACTCCTGCTCAGCTACAATATTCAGAAAAATCAGCTGCTTTGACCCCGTGGAGCATCTCTCGTGAACCAGGTGAGCAGACTTGGCATGAATCTCTCTATACTCTTCTAGACACTCAAGTGAATTATTTACTAAGGTCCTACAGAAAATAAAACAGATCTTTACCTGGGTTGAAAACAACTCAGTAACTTTTACACTCTTATTTTCTAACAGCTTCGCTTTTTGGGTCCAACCCAAATTTATTTACATAGTAGGAAATACAAGAAAAGGAAATACTCGAGTTCTGTGTAATTAACTTTCATACAGTTGACACAGTTATGTTGTGTAAATCACTTTGTGCAAAATCTCCTGGGACTAGCAATCCAGGTTTAGGGGCCACATACCCCCAGTCCTTTCCAAACCTTTCCTTATGGCCTCACTGGGGCCGTGGCTGCTGCTGTGAGGTGACAGGGATGAAGAACACCCATCCCTGCTGTGCTCCCCTCACTGTGGGGTGGCCACTGTGGCCAGGGAGCTGGGGTTGATCTTCAGAGCCATTCCCCTGCTGCTCAGTGAGATCTGGGGAGCAATGTGGCCTCACCACCCCCTCCTCATCCTCCTCCTCCCCAAGGGCAGTCCCTGCCCAAAGGGAATTAACCACAGTGACACTTTTACCAGCAAATTAATTTGAATGTTAATGTCCCTTGGCCATTACCTCACCTCCTTTCCAGTCTGTAAACCACTGGGCTCTGGCCCTTTCTCTGGATCCAGGCTGTTACACACAGAAAACCACATTTAATCCAAGCACAGGCAGCCACACGTGAGCACCGGCACACACCAGCGACTGCAGCGCTGGATTTATCACTAACCAGCTCTTCCTGGAGGTCAGCAACAGCCCATTCCAGGGGGGTAAATTCCATCTTCTAGCACAAAGCTCTCCTGCTCCCCAGCGTTCCTCTGCTTCTTTGGGAAGTGCTGAAATGATTTATTTCCCCCCCACCACCATCCCAGTGCTGCTCCCAGCTTGCACGGACACCTCCACAGCAGCCTGGCTTTTTATCACCTCAGCCTGGCAGGGATGAGGTGCTGCTGATAGTTTCTTTACCTGCTCCAAACCCTTCCTGCAAGCTCCTGTCCACATCACCTTGCCAGCTTTGTCCTTTTCACAGAGGCCACTGACATGAGCAGGAATAAAATTTTCATCTTTCCTTATTTCCTTTCTGATATATTCCACATCTTTTTCTCTTGTAAACAAGCCTCAGAGCCCTTTCTTCCCTCCTCCTGTCTCCCACTCAACACCACCTGATGTTTTCAGCAGCTCATGGGTGTTCCTGGGCTGTGGTGCCACAGAGGAGATGCTGAGCTCTGCCCAGCATGATCTTGTAGGTGGACACTGTGCCTAGGACCCCATCTGCAGAGGAGGTGGCCGTACGGCGTGGAGATGGAGCTCAATACAGTGGTGTGGATGGTTTTGTCTCCTTCCTCTGAGCTGCAGTGGAAGGTTCGTGACCCAGAAGTTTCTTTGCTCAGAGGGAAGAGCAGGAATCCTTTGGGAATGCCATGTTGAGTGGAGAGGGGGACACGCTGCTGCAGACCCCATGCTCTGGGCTGGGAAACGGCCGCTGCTCTTGCTTCACAAAGGTTCTGCCTCAGCCACCCTGGATCCTCCTTGCTCAGCCTGTGTCTGTCAGTGTAAACCAGGAAGCGGATTTTAAATGAACCCAAGAGCCTCAGCGTTTTTATCAGTTACTGTTTTTTTTTTTTCTTTCTCCTCCTGAGTGAAGTCAAGTGAAACAATTTCATTTCACTGTCCTACAGAAGAGAAACGAGGTCCCCTAACGCTACACTTGCATCTAGATCAATTTTAAATGAGTCTAATACAGCTGGAGCCTGAATCTACTGACTGAGTCCAGTTTTCCACCGCTGCCACCTGAAGTCCTACACAGTGGGGTTTTGACTCTCAGCTGGTTTTGAGTCACCTTCTTCTGCCTGGTCCTTCGCCCCCTCCTCAGGAGCCCGTTCTCCAGCCCAAAAGCATCTGACGAGCCTGTTTAAGGCTTGGGTTACTCGGAGTTTTCTCACGTGCACAATGACAAGTGCTGCAAGCACCAGAACAGCGACAGTTACGATGTTAATGCTGATAATGAACCTAAAAGGGTCCTTTTTAGTGACTGGTGCAGGTCCACTGTCCACGCTTCCTCCAAAGCCACTAAACTTGCAGTAGGGAGGTGCCCAGCCATAGTCACAGTGGCAGTTTCCTCTAGTGTTGCAGACGCCTTTTCCTTGGCACGTTCTCTTGGCAGAACAGTGGGATGGGAAGTAGTTCTCCTCAGGAACACACGTCTGATTAATACAGATCTTCTTCTCACCGCACTGTGTGCCATCCTTAATGGCTCCAGCATCTGGAATGTCCACACCCAAGTGGTAGTCTGTGCCCCAACACCAGGTATCACCCACCAGGCTTTGAATGACAGTTGCATGATCTTCCAGCCGAGGTAGACGTCTAACGTTGGTACACTGCACCCTCCCACACAGGACGTTTTCCAGCTCACATTTCTGAAAGTTGACATCTGCCCCATCTCCCCAGCAATGACCAAACCGATCTCCTTTTGTGTTCACCTCCTGGAAACATGGGAGTGGAGCAGGTTTTGCTTCCTTGCCAAAGATACTCATGCACTGTAACGAGAGAGATCGGCATTCGCCTGAGTAACAGTACCCGTCCTCGGCACACACGCTCCCGTCTTGCTTGGCCACGTCTGCTGGGCAATGCTCAGATGTCCCATTGCAATACTCGGGCAGGTCACACGGACCTGTACTCTCCCTACATACTTCTCCTTCTGGAAGAAGTTTGCAATTCTTACAGCAGCCTCCAGAAGTACAAATAGCTCCTTTTTTTTGACAGGTATTGGCACAGCAAAGGTCTGATTTACATCGCGCTCCCAAGCCGCAGTTGCACTCCTCCCTGTTCCCGCAGCGCCGCGGTGCAAATGTCCTCACTGATTCTGGGATGTTATTAAGGCAGAATCCTCGCCCTGATGCTATAAAATCCAAATAGTGCTTTTTGCTGCAGTTGCTAAATTGAAAGTTGACTGTGCCATGTGTGCTCATGATGCACTTAGAGGTGTTTCCACATCTGCAGTATCCGTCGTTGTGCTTCATGCCAAGGACGTGCCCCAGTGCACGAGCGACGTGGACAGCAGTGTCCACATAGGGCTGCTTTGCAAACGATACAACAGCAGAGGCATGTTTTCTATCACATCCACTGGCAAAGTTGGATTTGCTGCCTACGTGGAACGTTCTCATCCCATGATCGAAGTCCATCGAGGCAAACAGACACCCCACGTCGTGTCTGGCGTACGAAAGGCTTTGCTGCTTCCGCCAAAGGTTAAAATCATGCAGGACCTCGGTTATGTTTTGGGTAACACTGATAGGGTTCTTCTCCACCCAAACCTCTAGTGCAGTTATCAAAACACGAAGGTGGAAAGAATAAAAGAGTCCATCCACCAGATTGATTATTTCAACAACTTCCAGTGTCACATCAGTTATACTTCTGCCAAAGGCATCAAACCCTTCCTTGTCCACCACAACAAGGAGCTCCAAATACCGCGTGTGTCGCCGGGGCCTGAACTGTCTTCTTGCTTTACCAGGACCTGGAAATTGTCCACCTTCGCTGGGCATTTTGTACATCACCGTTCCAGGAACCACCTCCTCCCTCTGCAACAGAAGATGCTCAGCCATGGAAGAAGCTGCCAGGGGCTCGATGCTGTAGCTTGAGTTTCCAATCTGCAGCAGTCCTCTGAGCCCAGAACAGGTCATCAGAGTCACCGCGGAGTCCAGGATGCCTTCCACGTAGCCATGGTAATAGCAATCTGCTGGCACATGAGGCTGCTGAGCCACGATTTCCCCTTGGGAGTCACGAGTGAATACGGGGAAGTTTTTTATTACAAAGTCTTTCTGCCTGAGATGAATTGTGTAATTCACCCCCTGAATGCTGATGCTGTAGGACACTTGGTCCTGGCTGGCTCTCCCTGCCTTGGTGCCAAGTTTCTTTGGAATGACTATCTCGTAGGCTGTGTAGCCCCAAGAGGGCTGGGGGCTGCAGTCTGTGCAGGGCAGCAGCAGCCCCCACAGTACGAAGGAGAGGCCCAGCCCGAGGAGAACCTCTCTGCCCATCAAGGCGCAGCTTGGTCGTCGCTGGAGGAAAGAGAGGAAAATGTGGATGTTAAGATATCAGAAAAGCTGCTTTGAACTTGGCAGCAAAGATCCCTTCTCACTGCTGTAACACCATCCCTTGGGGTCTGTCCTCTTCCCCGACTCAGCCTGCAGCCAGAAGCCAAAGGGGCAACTGAAAGGACTCAAGGGGCAACCGTTTCTCCAGCCCTTGTGTTCTTTGAACACAAACATTCCATGGGGAGGACGGGACCCAGGCGCTGGCACAGGCAGGACCAAGCGTGAATTAAACACACCCCATCTCATCACCAAGAGCCTGCTGCACCCTACTTGGGCTGACCCCGACTGCTGACCAGCCAGAGCTGCTACAGCAATTTGTTTAAAAGGGGATTAAGCGTCCATAAGTGGAACACACCACAAGATTACCGGGGAAACAATGATTTGGTTGCTAACGGGACCTTCAGCTGCAGCAGTGAGAGCCTCCAGTGTCTGCTGACAGGTACCCTTGCTGAGCATGTGTCACCCAATGTTTAAACTATTTGAGGGGAGTTTTCTTGCTGGAAGGGGAGAGTCTTTTCTTGTTCCACTTCTACACAGCACTTGCAGTTTAGCTGCCTTAAATACTGCCGGGATACTTGAGAATTGTGTCTCTCACTCCCCCTCCCAGTGCCATGGATGCTCTGACAGACAGTCACTATCCAGCACAGCATTAACTCCCCAAATTTACCAACCAGATGGATGTCATCTCTTACAAAGAGGGTGGCCTGGGGTACTCACAGATGTCCCACCACCTCTTTTCAGTGCCATTTTTGTTCTGAAACACTCCTGTGACAAGAGTCTATCTGGTTGCTGCCAACAAGCCAGTCAAACCATGCCTGAGGATAATGAAAGTATTTCCAGAGCCAGGAAGTATAGAAGTGCCACGCTTGATGGCACTGGTCTGTGTTCAGACGGGCTGACTGCCTAAGAGGTGAGCAGAAGTGCTCCAGTGCTCTCTGGTGAAGGGCAGAATCACACAGAATCACCTAGACTGGCAAAGAAAGACCTTTAACATTATCGAGTCCAATCATGAACCCAACACTGACCAGTCCCCTATGACTAACCCATGTCCCTCAGCACTGTGTCTACACAACTCTTCAATCCCTCCAGGGATGGGGACTCCACCACTGCCCTGGCCAACCCCTTCCAATGCCTCAGAACCCTTTCAGCAAAGAAATTCTTTCTCACATCCCATCTCAACTGCCCTGGGCACAACTGGAGCCCATTTCCTCTTGTCCTGTCACTTGTTCCTTGGTTGAACAGACCCACCCCCACCTCTCTCCACCCTCCCTTCAGGGAGTTGTAGAGAGTGAGAAGGTCTGAACAAAAACTGACTCATTTTTCACCTGCCAGTGTCTCCCAAGCTGCCAGTCAAGCCATAAGTCATAGAATCATAGAAGTCCCTGCAGGGCTCCTGCTCCAGCCACCTTCAGCGAAGCACAGCACCCTGCAACCATCGTCATCCTAAAGAAACTGGTCCCTAGTTCCTGCCCTAAAGAACAGAGGAGCTGTTACACCTGACAGGAGAAATGTCACTGAGCACAGAACAACTCACCCCTCCCTTTCCTGACTGCCCAAAGTTAGAGCTACAAGAAACATCCCATAGAGCTTATGGGGTTAACTGGTAGCACTGGGCAGGTACTGCTGCCATCTAACGGAAAGCAACCTCTAAAAAAGGCAATTTCAGGTTAGGTTGCCAGGTAGAGGGCAGGATTTTATCCAGTCTATCCTGTCAGTCACTTTTTCATCTCCAAGTCTCATGGCACTCCTGCAAAATACAAAGCAGAGGGCTTATTCACTTGTGTAAGGCAGGTGGGACTGAGGACTGAGCACGGTAGGACGGGGCTGGGGTTGGGAGGAGAAGCACAGTGCTGTCCTCTCCAAGCCCCAATCGTCCTTTTCTTCTGTCCTACAAGGACTTGGGGACCAAACAAAACCAGCCAATAACTTTTAAGTTTAGTAAAATCATTTATATACACCAATGCGTAATATTTACAATATAATACTGATCCAAAAGGAACTAACATGTTACAGATAACACTGGAAAGGAGAAATGAGAACATTTTAATACACAGAAGTTAAACATGGCAAATGAGGAGAGACTCAGATTTCCAAAAGAAAAACCTGAAATCATGACAGCAAAACTTTGACATGTTGCTATTTCCAATCAAAAACTCCTTCACCTAGTCAAGTTCTTCTCACTTTTTAATATATATATATATAGAGAGAGAGAGCTTAAAATAATCTAGTCACAGGAGAAGTCAGATATACATAAAATTTTGGAAAGGTCAAATGATTTCAGAGATCTTTGTCTTAAATAAAATTCTAAAAAAACAACAACAACAAAAAAAAACAAACAACAAAACAACCCCAACAAAAAACCCACAGAGCTTTCTCATATCCTCTTAGTGTTTGTACAAAGAACATCATCTTTGATCCCACAGGACCCTTCCAGCTCAAGATATTTACAATATTCACAGTCTGCTATGAAGGATCAGTAGATTTATTACCAAGTAAAACCTTAGATAATCAAGACAAGGTATCTTGCATTTATGTCAACAAAAAAATAAAAAAAATACAGGAAGGAGAAAGTAAAATACTACTTTAAAATATGTAAATTAATCCATTTTAACTTTGAAATCTTAAAAAAAAACCAAAACAACTTTTTAAAGAGTAAAACAATCAACTTTGTCATAGAAATAAAACTATTTGACCTTGAATCTTCAAATTGTGTTGTCTTTAATCTGTCCCTCCCTACCTCCATTTTCGATCAGGCCATTCATATTCACCACAGACAAGAAAATCGACAGTAAATCCATAAAAAGCAGTTCCTTATTCACAAAAGCCCTTAGAACTTTGACTTCCCTCCAGACACCAAAACATTTCACGGGCAGTCAAAGATGTACCCACCACACTACCAGTGAAATTATTGTTGTGTGAGTCAAGGGAGGATGAAGAGAGGAGGGACCCCCCAACACAGTCACATCCCACCTTCTCTGCTGATTTCTGAGCTGCCTCGGATGCCAGCAGAGCACAGTTGCTCTCGCACGCCGAGGTGCTCCCCACCACCCCAAACACTGCAGAAACAGGCTGAAGATGTTTCCTCCAGACCGTGACACAACAATGTACAAGACTCACTACTGTCCATCTTTAACACTGGGGCAACCAGCCAGAGAAAAATGAGGTCCCGACGTGTCACCCGCCGCGTTGCTCACAGGGTGCTCGGATCGTAGCAAGCTGTGGCGTGGCAGCAGTCACCATCTATGATGACCATGACAGGAGCTACAACCTGATCCATTTTTCTGCTAACAAGTTCTGGCTCCCAAGAAACTGCCTGAGTGTTTTCTTCCCCGGAGGGCAGAGTTGCAAAGGGCTTTTGTGGGGATCTTTTTTGCACTCTTATTCAAATAAAGATTATTTCCTTCTTTATTTCTCTATTTGCCATACTTAAAAGTTTCAATACCGTGAGATTTCTCAGAAGAAATATTGATTTCAAGTTAAAAAGGAAATAATCTATGACATTTAGAAACTGTGTGGATGTTGACATGACCTCAAATTCAGGACAAGGACAGAAATGTGTATAATAGGGCCTGTGAACTTGCTGATACTACCAAGAAATGACAAACAATCTCATCTCTTGCTAATTCTCTACAGTTGTTGTTGATAAATGTCAGTGCACAAATATTCCATGTAGTGTCAGAGGTACAATTCTGGCTTACACAAAAATTCCCTGCTTCCATCAGAGAAAGTGATGGTTAAGTAGGGACTGTGGTTCTTACTCTAAAATAAATCAGGTATTGGAAAACTTGTCAACAGGATTAAAAGAAAGCTGACAAGGTGCTGACAAAGAATGGGAAATGAAGTATCTCCTTCATGTAGAAAAAACTAAGTCACTGTTTACAAAATCTTATAGAAAGAGTCAGATACTGGTTTGCCATCCAAGCTAAAGGTTGTGAGGAAGTTTGCTATAGAAAAAAGACAAAAAAGAAGAAGGCTGGACTGCCGTAGGAGTAAATTGGGAGATTCATGGCTCAGGTTTGTAAATGTAAACCCAAAATTAATGAGCTATGAAATAAAACAATGATGTTCAAGAGTCATTACTAATAGCCCTGAATTGGCACTTCAGTCTGCAGACCAAACTCACTCGATGTCTGCACAGGTTTAGTACCAAAATATCTCTATAAAAAGCCTCCGACCAGTCTCAAAAGAAAGAAAAGCATCAGAAGGTAGAAAACTAGAAATATGTACAGATTCTTTTCATTTGTTTGCTTAATTAAAATTAAAATTAAAAAAAGCAGCTTTTGGAGCCAATGTTCCAGACTAGTGTAAGAATCTGCCCTGGGCAGCCTCATGGTCCAGGCAGCGTAAGGACATGTGTCAAGGAGCAGCCCTGCATCTGTTGCTCCCTCAGGAGGAGCTCGAAGGCATCAGAGATGGGGAGCTTGGACTCCAGAGGGTGACACAAGAGAAGGCTCACTGGTGGATTCACACAGCAGCACTATGACCCTTGCCAGGACAATTTCTTTCAAACAAGAGGACAAGTTTGAAACCAAGTGTTGGATCTTCTAGAAAGGGAAGAATGGAGGACACGGGTGGAACACACACGACTACCGATATGGGGATGAGCAAAAGAACCCCACACTTACTGCTGTCCATAGAAGATCCCACCATGAAAATAAAAACAACTTGTACATAAGTAACTAGAACATTCTTCTATTCTGCTGTGTAACAGTATGATAACAAGAGGAGTCTTAACATTAAATGGCCACTTCAGCCTTAAAAAAGGTCTAAGGAAGATGGAGAAGAAGAAAGACAGAGGGCTAAGCCCTAAAGATGGTTCAAGGAGAAGAAGAGAAAAAGAAGAGAACTGAAAAATAACAGCACACACATGGACTCGGGTGCCCTCGGCAAGGCCAAGCGTGGCTCTCGGGTCATTTAGCGCAACAGAAGGTTATTGAGTTGCCTCTACATAAAGAGTCAGAACCGAGGCGCAAAGGGCAGCTATGAAGTTTGTGTTTCACAGCACTTGCTTCAAGTACTTACTGAGCAGGGTGTTGAGAAACTCTGGCTGTCTCGTTCACATACATAGTCATTGCAGCTGGCTGTATGTATAGCAGATGGAAGGCAGCTTCTGCAACTGGTTATTAAGAAAAAGAATGGTCTTTTTAACAATATAACTCGCCCCATCTGAGGGACTCATGATTAACAGTACATAAGTGATCATATATACCTCAAGGAACTGAGTTTTAAAAAAATATTACAGTACCAATGATTTTTTTTTTTGTATCTACAACTATACAGCATTTTCAAGCAGTATGGAAATTTAATGAAATAATTATGATTTATTAATTTACATAAAAATACTTTTTACAGTTAAAGAATAAATCTTAAATGGTAAAAAAAATAAGATTAAGAAGCTCCAGCTATTGAGAATCATGGGAGTTTGTCTGCTCTTCGATAACTTGTTTTACTATTTCTGCCAGTTTTAGTCGATCCACTTTATCTGTGAATCCTCTGCCTGGAAGGAAAAGAACAGGTAGTGAGCTGGTGCTGGGCACAAGGAGGAAAGCAATCACAGCCAGAGTCATACACTGACTGAATATAAAACAGTACTTCACACAGAAACTGAGGACAACATTTGCAAGGGAACCAAAATGAGTAATGATCTCTAGTTCCACTGAAAAAATTAAGCACATAAAAACCTAAATTAAAACCAAACAAACAAAACAGAATGAGGGAAGAGGCACAGCCAAGCCCTTGTGAACCTGATGCCCCTGGTCCCCTTATATTCACCAGCATCTGCTCCTGGGGGCTGACACCTCTGCCACCCTGCTGTGACAAGTAGCCATCTGAACAGCCTCAGGGCAGCTGGCCTAGTTTAATTCTCTCTCCTATCCAAACCAAGCAGAGGAGATGTCGTGCTGACATAGATGAGGGCAGCAGCCTCCAGCAGAAAGAGGGTAATAAACAGCTGGAAGGAAACCAGCTCAAAACAGCTAAAGCTGTTTCTGAAGTGATGATCCACCCGCACTGTTATGTTTCTACACGAGCTGGTGCCTTTGAAAACTCTACCCTGAACCTCAAATAGAAACATTAAAGCAGAACTCCCAACCTCATTTCTAGAACATCCATGCTGGCAGATGGACTAAACCAGTGTCAAAACCTACATCAGTCTGACACAAATTCAAGATATTTGGGTTTATTTCCATTTAAGCAGGTCACTGCTTCCCCTTTCACCCAGCACTAGCACCGTTCTCCAGGGAAGAGAAGGAGTTCCTCACCATTCCAGCTGAAGCTCTGAAGAGTGTCTCGCAGCAACTTACACTCTCGATTATACTTCCACGCCTCCTGCATCACTTCATTCAGCTTCTCATCTTCATTCTCTCCTATTTAGGAGAACAAAGATAAACAGGAGGTTTGTCACTCTGCCTCGCAGCAACATTCAGAGCTTCAGTAAACAGTTATTCCTCCTCGCCTCACGCAAACTAGGAAACTGGTTTGAAAGCAGACACTCCTGTTGGAAAGTTATTTTAACAGCTCTCTGCATGTCACTGGTGACACTAATATTATGCAGGCACCAAAATTACAGTCCACAGACAACACTTTCTTCTTGAGACTGACTAGAACAACAGGAGTTTTGTTTATCCTTCCTCACTACTGACACAGACCGATCTTGAGGCACAGTAAAGTCAGTGTCTTGCATGTTTAGGAATGTAACTGTCTTAAAAGTGGCAACCTTTACCAGCCTGTGGTAGAATGCACTGAGCAATCACATCTCTCAGCTTTTCCAGAGCCACGTTGGAATCGTTACTTCCATTCTCAGGGTCATGGATGTAAACACCATCCTTTGGCTTCGTGCTGTGAAAAGAACAAAGAGGAAACAATTAAAAATTGAATGGAACTCAAGTTCATTACTTGTTGCGTAACTGCACCAGTATAACGTTTTCTTTCACTGTCTGGAAAGCTGGGAGTGGGAGCTAGATTTAGCATTAATTATAACAATGTCCTGCATTATGAGATCATTCTAAAAATTAAGAAAAATAAAAATTCCTTTCAGTTAATTCAAGTAGGGTGTAATCCTAAAAAGCATTATCCTATTTTTCAGAGTGGTAACTCAAACAAAGAAAAGAGAGATTCCCTGACTTCTTCAGTAAATGTCAGGATTGGAAAAAAATCGTGGAATTCTTTCTCCCAGTTTGCTTTACCTTACACAACATGTGACCCACCTTCTCCTAAGGGATCTGTTCTGCTACCTGTATAATGCAGTAACACTACCCAATCTCCTTCCTGCCTCACTGCCTTATCTTGGAAGACACACCACAATGTGCAAGTATGATTTGACTCCAACTACTCACTTCAGCATGAAGAGTATGTGAACCAAATCAGAAATTCAGGAGCATGGTTACAACTGAATGAACCTGAAACATGCTGAAAGTCATTCTCCATGCTGCCTATGCTTTGACCTTTCAAAAAAGGCTTTAAAGAGTTACCCCAGTAATTTCCTTTTGCGCAGGATTGGGTTGTTGACGGAGTGAAGGGGTTTGAGACTGACTTTGAGGTCTTGGATTCTCATGTTCGCAAGCTGTTCCGCATGAGCCTGTTGTATCCCTGCAACCATTGCCTGGAATGAAAAGAGGTGCACTTGATGTTTTAATTAGCTTCTTTGTGAATTAAAGAACAACATATGGACAATGTTAGCCATGGACAAAAAAATTAAAATAAAAGGTGCACCAAAATCCTTTTTATTTCAGAGATGCATAACAA